GCTCAGGTCATGATCCCGAGGTCCTGAGATAGAGCCCTACATCGGGCTCCCTGCTCAGCGGGAAGCCTGCTTCTCCCTCTCCCTCTCCCCCTGCTTGTGTTCTCTCTCTCTCTCTGTCAAGTAAATAAATAAAATCCTTTTTAAAAAAGAAAAGCAGGGGCGCCTGGGTGGCTCAGTGGTTAAAGCCTCTGCCTTCGGCTCATGTCATGATCCCAGGGTCCTGGGATCGAGCCTCATGTCGGGCTCTCTGCTCAGCAGGGAGCCTGCCTCCTCCTCCTCTCTCTCTCTGCCTGCCTCTCTGCCTACTTGTGATCTGTCTGTCAAATAAATAAAAAAAATCTTAAAAAAAAATAAGAAATAAGAAAAAAAAAATAAAAAAGAAAAGCATTGAAGAAGCTAATAAAGTCTCTAAAGATGTAGAAGTGTCCTAACATAGAGAAGGATTTACCAGAACTATCAACCTTAACACTGTCCTGAGTATTGTTGTTGATAAAAGGTATAATATATAGAATGAGTATATAAAATACTGTTCCAAATACTAAGTACTGTGTAATTAGAGAAAAATGAGGGTCAGAGATTGCTCAGCATCATTTGTTTCCTTTTAGACCCCATTAATGAAAATACTTAATATTTCACAAAAATAATATGAAGAATAAATTCTTCTAAAAGTTTACTTAAGCAGTGAATAGTGACATTGCTTCAGTTTTAAAAAGGTGGGGAAAAAAATGCTGCCCAGATACTCACTGTGTATTCCTCTGAGGGACAAGGCTGACATGAGTGATGAATGTGGAGCCAAAGAGTGAAGAACTGTTGTATTAGCCCTCAGGGTCTACACATCCATTTCTCACATCCTCTTCCCTCCAAGAAGCACTTCCATTGGCTTCATACATTCTACACACATTTGCGTGCCTTCCAGTACAAGACATTGGTGGAACAGGAAAAAAAAATATTACAAGGTGGTTGATTTAAGTTAAGGTGGTTGATTTAAGTTACTACTCAGAGAGTTTAGAGGCCAAATGAGAGACAGACGCTTAAGCACATAATTTCAGCACCTCGGGATGGGGTATACAAAGTTAATGCTTGAACCTCTCCTGTAGCAGATAAGTGCCAACAGATTTCCTCTCCTCTACTCGGAGCAGAATCTCCACTCAGCAGTGATGGCAGCATCCAGGATATTCCTGGGCTCTAATAGTCATCTAAGGTGGGCGACCTTAGGCACAGAGGTGGTTTTTGGCTCTCCTCTGAGCTCAGCAAATTGACAGATTCCTTTTTTTTCCTTAGGTGAGATAATTTCCATACTTAATAATTCATATCAGTTTTTTAATAAAAAAAGACTTGCAAATTCATAAAAAGTCACTCTGCATAGACTAGATTACCTACTATGGGTTCTCTCTGTTTCCTCACAAACAAAAGTGTTCAGTGAATAGTGGAGATGGTCAAGGGGACAATTTCCCAGGCAGTTTCACATTCAGATGCCCCTGCCATCATCACTGAGCCGTCAGCTACCTAGTCCTAAGGCATTCATGTTTCAAGCCCCAAGTTTTCCTAAAGGAAATTATTTTTGCAGTGGTTTTATCATTTTTTATTTGTATTTTTTTATTATTGAAGATATACAAAACCTGTTTTAACAAAAGTTGGCTCTTAGCCTATTTTTATAGTTTTAGTATAGTTCTTTCTAATGAAATTATTTACATTTAGAACACTTATCTCTTTTTTTTTTTTTTTTTAAGATTTTATTTATCTGAGAGAGAGGAGAGCACAGGTGGGGGAGATGTGGTGCAGGGAATAGCAGAGGAAGAGGAAGAAGCAGGCTTGACACAGGGCTCCCTCCCAGGACCCTGGGATCATGACCTGAGCTGAAGGCAGACACTTAACCAACCAAGCGCCATCCAAGTGCCCCCCCCCATGTAAAACACTTCTTGACTAACTAGAATTTAAATAAAAACTTGAAAAAATAAAAAATAAAACATTTCTTTTTCTCTGTTTATAATGGGTTTTTCATGTAAGTACATATAAGTATGTGTGTTGGAGCAGTGGGGATGCTGGGTAAAGGAGATTTCTTTTTTTTGTTTTGTTTTTCTTGCCCACCCTCTCATTGATCATAAACCATCTGATATAAGGGTTTGAGGGGGTGTGCTGAACATCTTTACTGATATGCCTTCCAAACTTTGTTTTTCTTGAAATCTTTGCTTTCCGAACATGATTCATTAGCAAGCACAGCATCTTAATTAGAGAGTCTGTGCCTTTTTTTTTGGGGGGGGGGGTCTTATTCCTATAATAAATCATATATATTTGACTACACGAGGCGGAACATTCTAGGAAAGTCTGGGCCAGTGTCACATGCAAACCACTTGTTTCTTAATACACTAATGAACACCAAGTTCCATTTTCCTCTCAAGTGGTAAATGGTTAGCGCTGTTGCCTAGGAAAATCCCTCCATGTTATACTGAATACTCAGAAAGTTGCAAAATAATTCTTTGGGTTTGGAAGTTTGACACTAAAAGACATTTTATGTCTCTTTGGCCAAAACATTTATTGGTAAGCAACATTTGTCCCTATCATTGAAAATGGTAATACCACAGATGGCCCTTCTTTGAATAATATCCTGTAGCAATGACCTTTAAGTACAAGTCTAGAGAGACCAAGTAATCCATGAAAGATTTAATTTCATCACCAAAAATTCCAACTAACAGAGATCCTGTTGGCAGTGTTGAAGCCATTCCTGATGTCCATAATGAGGTTCAGACACTTCATGACACTCTGGGAAGTACATTATAGAGTCCAAATTACTATCTCTAATGACATTATGGTAAATCTCTGCGTGTCTGAATTTATGCATCATTTAGCTGATAATGACAGCCTCAACACCTCTCATTAAGTTGACGAATGATAGATTTTCTTTTTCCCCTAAATCATAATGGACCTTGTAGTTCTTTGTTTTTCGTTAAATGAATACCTTTTTTGAGAAAAGAAAAAAAGTTCAAAACTGAGAGTGAATTTTAGTTACTTTTTTCCAAAAGAGGAATATCAAGCAAGAACGTCTGTATTTTTAACAGCTCAGGTTGGGCTTGACTGTAACCATAGTTTAGCTGCTTGGAAAGGTACCCATTATTGTTCTACATCCTTCTTTAGTGCACTGTCTGCTTTTGCATGGCACAGTGGGGAAATTGGATGGAGAAAGAAGAAAAAATAAGGAGGAGAAATAAATAATTCAGGAATAGAAAAGATAAATGGTTAGGCCGAAAGAAATCATTCCTGCTCATTACTCCATAAAGTTTTGCTGAAACTATGACTAAGTTTGCCAGACCTAGCCCTACATGGTTGCAACTTCTCCAGATAAAAGATAAAGTGTTGAAGTAGATATTTGAGTACTTACTATTGCCTATTGCCGTGTACTATTTATATAGAGGGATAACTAGTTTTATTGCACTTCGCTTATTGTGCTTCATGGATTTTTACAAATTGAAGGATTATGGCAGTCCTGAAGGATTGAGCAACTCTATCTGTGCCATTTTTTCAACAGCATTCATTCACATCATGTCTCTGAGTCACCTTTTGGTAATTCTCACAATAATTAAGGTATATAGTGTTTTTCTAGACGTAATGCACACATTATGCACACATAATACACTGCAATATAATGTAAACATAACTTTTATGTGCACTGGGAAACCAAAACATTCATTCAACTTGCCTTACAGGGGTAGTCTGGAACCAAACCTGCAATATCTCTGAGGTTTGCCTGTATGTGTACTAATTTATTAGTCACCTTATAAAAACCTTTTGAGGTAGGATCTAAATTGGTATTGAATTTTTAGACCTTTTCAGTTACAATTCAGTTTTTGAAGTATTTTCTAGTACTTACCATATATGCCTGGCTCTAGAAATAGAACAATGAACAAAGTCCATGTCCTCGTGGACATTCTGGTGGAGAAAACGAATACCAAATGAGAAAACATACAGAAACACAGAACTGATTTCAGGAAGTGATTGATGTTTAAAAAAAAATAATAAAACATCAGGGCACCTGGGTGGCTCAGTGGATTAAAGCCTCTGCCCTCAGCTCAGGTCACGATTCCAGGGTCCTGAGATCGAGCCCATCAGGCTCTCTGCTCAGCGGGAGCCCGCTTTCCCCTCCCTCTCTCTGCCTACTTGTCATCTCTGTCTGTCAAATAAATAAATAAAATCTTTTTTAAAAAATAAAATAATAAAACATCATAGGGGAATAAAAAGTAACTGGGAGAAGGGTTGTTTTTTTAGACAGAGGAGTCAGAAGAGGCGGCAATATTTAAGCAGATGCCCCCACGACTGAGCCACACGGTTACGCGGGAGAGCAATGTTCAGGCAGACAACGCAACATGTCCAGAAGTAGCCAGTGGAGGTGAGCTTGTTGCTTTCAAGGGATAGTGAAGACACTGATCTATCTGGAGCAAATTGAGCCAGAGGAAAAGGCATGGGGCATAGTAACGAAGAAGGAGCCAGGGCAGAACACGCAGATCTTTCACACCATGATAAGTCCTCTGAATTTTGTTCTAAGTGTGGTAAAAAGCCATAGGAGGGTTTATACAAACAAGGAAGTGTCCTTTAGAAAGATCACTGTGGCTCCTGTTTGAAAAATAGACTGTAGAGGACCTCAGGGAGAAACAGTCCAGCTATGTGAGTGTTTCACAGGCCCCATTAAGAGATATTTTTGTTTTTTTAAAAAAGATCCCCAAAAGATTCTAATGTACGTCCAGGGTTGAGAAACTGGTTTACATTTAAGAGAAAGGAAGGAATTTGATGGAAAGAATATCACTGCTTCTCCAAAAAGAAAAACTTATTAAAAGCATTTTAGGATACATCCTTCCTTGTCACTGAAATAACTATTTTAATAAACCCTACTTATATTGATTTAAAACCAGCGAGTATGTGGTTTTAAGTAGGTTTTATTATTTTAATTTTGTGTCTATTTTCTCTCTCCTTTCTCCTCTTCCCCCTGCTCCCTCCTTCTTCCCTAATCTCTCTGTTCTTCCCACAACAGGAACTTGGAAAGTCATGGGAGGAAGTTCAACTGGAAGATGATCGGGAGTTGCTAGACCATCAGGAAGAGTAAGATTTGTTATGGCTGCTAATTAATTGCTGTGTTTTAAGAGTAGGAAAACAACTGCATAGTTTGGTTTAAAGCGATTATTCTTAAGAGAATAGAAACAAAGAAAACTTTCTCTCCTTGTCATCATCCGTCCATGTAATAGCGCAAAAACTTGAATTCCAAGTAACTTTTACATAAAAATCACTAAAGCAACTGTTATTCCAGCTAAATAGTGTTTTGCCATTAGAACTGTTAATTGAGGGGTGACTGGGTGACATAGTTGAGCATCTGACTCTTGGGTCTTGGCTCAGGTCTTGATCTCAAAGTCATGAAATCAAGTCCCACATCAAGCTCTTTGCTCAGTGTGGAGTCAGCTTGTCCCTCTCCCTCTGCTCCTTCTCCTCCTCCTCTCTCTAAATAAATAAATAAAATCTTTTAAAATAAATTAATTAATTTTTTAAAAAAACAACTTTAGGGGCTCTTGAGTGGCTCAGTTGGTTAAATATCTGCCTTCAGCTCAAGTCATGATCCTAGGATCCTAGAATCGAGCTCCATGCCTCCCTGCTCAGTAGGAAGTGTACTTCTCCCTCTCCCTTTCCCAACCCCCCCACCCCTGCTTGTCCTGTCTATCACTCTCTCAAATAAATAAATAAGATCCTTAAAAATAAATATATAAATAAATAAAAATAAAATTTCAAAAGTTTTTTAAAAAGCTGTTAATTGAACACACAAGTAAAAAATAATGCAGAAAAAGATACATTTCATTGGTATTTTGCTCACTTGGTTGGTGCCCAGATCTTGAAGTTACACAAACTTTGAACTCTCCGTGCTGCTTGTCATTGGAGTAGAGAATGTCACGGAATTAACCTTGTTCCATGTACATCCCATTGACCTAGTTAAAATATTCACAGCTTCTTGCCTTGGAATTACAAGCTTGGGAAGTGTTCTTTTCAACCTTAAAGGATTGCCTTTACTCATCCTCTTTTCCTTCAAAGATGCTTGGCCTTTTTTCTCTCCTGGGATTTCAGTTTTCCGGGTTTAGGACTGACAAGAAGTTGATAGTGTCTTCAAAATAAATCAGGGGATGGGGAGAAGACAGGAATGGTAACATGGGTCCTGTGTGGTTTTTGACCTCTCTGTTTACCGCCAGATTTAACACTTAAAATGATCAGTATTTCTCACATGAAGGATACATGGTTTGCCTTTTAAAAACACGCCATTTGTCATGCAGAGACACACTCCCAGCATCGCACCTCACAGCATGTGTACTTGGTGGTTGTGGCTAATAAGAGGGAGCATTGCATCTACTGATATGCCTCCTTTGCGAATTAAACCTAGTTGTGTCAGAAAGACATTAAACTGATTCTGTAGTAAAATAGCTGCTCAGAAGAGAAGCAAATAGAAGAAAATGGAGCAACACCTGTTCACTATTTATATTAATTTCATGGTGCTACTTTGAATTTCAAAAGCTATATCAAAAAGTCATAATATGATGTGACAATCTTTACAAAAATGTCAGAGTTGAAAAAGAGTGGCAGGGTTTCCCAGGGAGGAGGAAGTAATAGCAAGTGACTGCTTAGTACGCCCTCTTAATGAGGGGAATCTCTCTATTTGCTGTTTTCTTTTTAACACAGTGACTGGTCTGATTGGGAAGAACACCCTGACTCTGCTGTCTGCCTATTTTGTGAAAAGCAAGCAGAAACCATTGAGAAATTATGTGTCCACATGGAGGTGAGATACTTTTATTCATTTGAATTTTGTCTTGTTCTGACAGGGACACTGATCATGATTGCAGTCTTACCAGCTTATGTTTAGTTTGTCATTATCCTATTCCTAAAAGTGCTCTAAGTGGGGCACCTGATGGCTCAGTTGGTTAAGCGTCCAACTCGTGGTTTCAGCTCATGTCATGAACTCAAGGTTGTGAGATCGAGCCCCGAGTTCAACTCCACACTCAGCGTAGAGTCTACTTGAAAGATTCTCTCCCTCTGCCCCTCCTCCTGTGCTCACTTGTGCCCTCTCTCCTTCCCCCCGCCAAATAAATAAATAAATCTTTTATTAAAAAGAAAGTGCTGTAGGCAAAACCGAAGAGACAGACCCAATCCATCAAGAAGAGCCAGAACTCAGGGCAATTTAGTACAATGCACAAGACCTGTGCAAACTGTTAGGGTGGGATTTCACAGACCACTGATGCCATCCTACCTCTGAGATGTTTATGAGATAATTCTAGCTTAGAATGTGGGCCCTGTAACCATGAGTAACAGTACTCAAGATATGGACGGTTCTGTATCTTTTTCCACTGCCTCCTGTGCTAGTGAATAAGGAAAGCAGGAAAGGGTTCACGAAGCCCTTAAGGGAAATGGGCAGTGCGGCATGGGCAATGTAGAGGCAAAGGGTAAAGGATGTGATTGTGCAGCTCCTGCAGTTGTAAGAATTTGGAGGGAAGAAATTTGAGGGTATTTCCAGTTCGTGTGTTCCTCTTTGGATGCCATTTTTCTGTTATAATGAAGCTTGAAGCTGGTAGTTCTAAACCTTTTTTCACCCCAGTATATCTGAGAGATGACACACTCCCAACAACTCTGATCCTCACCTGGACAGTGCGGGTGAAGAGGGGGGATATCTAATGAGTCATGACAGTACTGCAGCTTAAAGGTAGAGGAGTGATTATAATTAAAAAATATTACTGGATGATTCTGATTCCCTCTCCCTACCCTCCCCCAGCCATCTCTGCCAACAGTGATGCAGATTATCCTGTTTTACCCACCTTCTCCCTGCTCTCATTCAGAAACACTCTTCTTAGTTCCATTAAAAAAAAAATAGAATGTATGTGAAAGGCCATGAGCATTTACCCTTAAGAAAGCAGAGAGTCATTTTCTCTGAAACAGGTTGCTAATAGTATGTGTGTATAGTTTTCAGTGTTTAAATTTAATTAATAATATCCTAATATCTTTGAATTGAAAGGAGTCTTAATACCCCTACCCTGTATAGGAAATTTCCTTTGCAACATCCTTGACCTGTGTCCTCGCCCTCTGCTCAGTCACTTCCAGTCATAAAGTACCATGGATTTCCTAATTATCCTGCCTCTGATGTTACATTGAATGCCTTCATAGGAAGTTAGATGGTCTTTATTCTCTGTAAGCTTTTAAGTTCAAACATTTACCCAGATGGACGATTGCACGAGTGGAACAGAATAAGGCTGCATTGTAAAAATCAAAAGAAATAAAATTTATGGAAAGATGTCAGTGAAGAGAAATTTGCATTAAACAGTGTGTTTAACAGCATAAAATGAAAAGTGGATTTGTAAAATTACCTATCTGCTTGTGTAGCAAAGGACCTATATCCATAATTGTAGTCCAGGCACACAATACAGTAAATAGGGCCACATTTTACCACAGACTGAGGACACTTTTGTCAGACTGCAGAATGCATACATAGTAAATTGTGAAAACTGTAGATACAAACTGTGAATAATTAAAATGTTTCAACTGATTGGCATGACTTGTTTGGACTGTGCTTTAAAAAGTAGTTGGATGTGGTTGGGGGAAGCAGTTATATTTCGAATACTTCAAAAGCAGAACATGATGAACTGAGACTGAGTTTCAACAGTGTTCAAACTCCTATGAATAAGCCGTCTGTTTATAACTTCAGCCTGAAAGATTAAATAATTTATATGCTCACAGATATTCATTCCTTTTTTAGGATGCTCACGAGTTTGATCTCCTCAAAATAAAGTCAGAACTTGGTGAGTTTGATTCAGAAGTTGTTTTCCATGATGTTGCGTTTTTATATACACTCCTGTAAATGACGCCTTGTTCGGGAGTCGTGATTGGAGAATGCACAGCCAAATGTGTCTCTCCACAGATGGTCTCAATGGGACTGCCTGAAGCAGTGATTCACAACCATTTTGAACTGTAATACTCAAATATGGTTTTTTATTTTATATGGTCTTTCTTCTTTCCTACATATATGAATCCTTCAAATAAAATGCAAGCTAATGATTAGTATCTATTATAAATAAAGTGGAAGCGGCTAAGAGAAAGCCCATGGATTTTTGAGGTCAGACTGGAGTTCATAGTCCAGCTCCAGCACTTACTGGCTGTGTGACATAAGGCCTCAGGTCAACAGAATGTGAAGGGAGTGGACAATGTATATAAAATAGCTACTATACTGCTTGACAGTGTAGCTAGATTATTTGTCACAGATGGACCCAATTGTATCATTTTCAGTATAAGTATGATGGAAAGATTAGGGGCATGAAGATGTAAATTACTGACTTGTTAATGGATCAAAGGCAGTAGAAAGCTCACTTCCCACACCTCAGCTTACTGACTACTTTCCTAGACTCTGGAAAGTGTTACTTTACTTTGCTCTCCTTACAGACATGTATGTATGTCACATGCTGGCTCTACCACCCACTAGCTGTGCAACCTTGGACAGTCTCCTAATAGATAATGTGGATATGATAATACTACCTATGTGGTAGAGTTCTGCAAGAATTAAATGTATTAATGTGTGGAAACTGGTTAGAACAGTGGCTAGCACATAAGCCCTATATAAGTATTAGCTGTTATTGTTTGGTATCTATTATTCTTTATCATTGTAGTACCTCTTCAGGTTGGTTAATAAAGAGAAGTGGCTCAGGCACTTGGGTGGTACAGATGGTTAAGCATTTGACTTTGGCTCAGGTCATGATCTCAGGGTCCTGGGATCAAGCTCCACCTCAGGCTCCATACTCAGCACAAAGTCTGCTTGTCCATCTGCCCCTCTCCCTGTTCATGCTCACTCACTCTGTTTTCCTCTTTCAAAAAAATAAAACCTTGGGGCGCCTGGGTGGCTCAGTGTGTTAAAGCCTCTGCCTTCGGCTCAGGTCATGATCTCAGGGTCCTGGGATCGAGCCCCGCATCAGGCTCTCTGCTCAGCAGGGAGCCTGCTTCCCCCTCTCTCTCTGCCTGCCTCTCTGCCTACTTGTGATTTCTGTTTGTCAAATAAAATCTTTAAAAATAAATAAATAAATAAATAAATAAATAAAACCTTTTTAAAAAGAAAAAGAATTGGCTCTTTTGAAAAATTATAACAATTTAAAAATAGGCCTGACCAGTTGTCTGATGATTGTATAAACTATCATATTTCAGGATTAAATTTCTACCAGCAAGTAAAACTGGTCAATTTCATCCGGAGACAAATTCACCAATGTAGATGTTATGGCTGCCATGTGAAATTCAAATCCAAAGCAGAGTTAAGGACTCATATGGAAGAAGCTAAACATACATCACTGCTTCCTGAAAGAAAGATGTGGGATCAACCAGAGTGAGTACTACTCAACCAAGCTTATACTTCTTTGCTCCATATCCCTTATTTGTTCCATTATTCAGTTTCTCCAGACCTTAATGAGAGAGAAAGATACGTTTATAAAAAAGAGCAAAAATCTTCAAAAAACCTTATTTTTAAAGGAATCCCCTTTTATAAGTATAACCAACTCTAGTATTTTGTGGTATGAAGAAAAAGATGTAAGTATAGAAGCAAAGATTTTTTTCATTATATTTTTGTTAACAGATTATTGCATGCATTTTTTATATGTAATACATATCAATTGCATCATTTTTAATGGTTGTCACATATCCCATTCAATAGATATACCCTAATTTCCTAGATATTGAGGTCGTTTCTTGCATTTTGCTCTTATAAATAGTAATACAGTGAATATCCAGATGCCTACATTGTTGCACACTTGTCTAATTTTTCATTTAGATAAACTCCTAGAAATAAAATTATTCTGTCAAAGAATACACAACTATTAGGGCTTTTGGTATATATTTTGCATCTCAGAACTTTATAAATGTTAAGCAGGTGGTCCACTAATCTGTACTATGGAGGTGGTATCAGACTCCCAGATGTCCTTTGCTAGTTCAGCCATCTGGGCTGGTTCTCATAGCAGTCTGGACAACCTCAGCTGGGAGAACCTCGGAGAGGTTGTAGGGTTCTAGCTGCCTGGAGGTTCCTCTCTTCTTAGGAAATATTAAATAAGTGCCCCCCCACCCCTCCCCCAATACTAGCCCCAAAGCTCTAGATTTTCCTCTAGAAAATCCCAGATTTCAGGGCACCTGGGTGGTTCATGCAGTTAAACGTCCCAACTCTTGGTTTCAGCTCAGGTCATGATCATAGGGTCATGAGATTGAGCCCCACATCAGGCTCTGTACTCAGCATGGAATCTGTCTGAGATTCTCCCTTTATCCCTCACCCTGCTCACACTCCCTTGCTCTCTCTGTCTCTCTCTGTCTCTTTCTCTCTCTCAAATAAATAAATAAATAAATAAATAAATAAATAAAATCTTCTTTAAAAAGAATGCAAGAAAGAAAATCCCCGATATGTAAGAGACAAAGTCGGTCCTGGATAAATAAATAAATAAATAAAATCTTCTTAAAAAAGAATGCAAGAAAGAAAATCCCTGATTTGTAAGAGACAAAGTCGGTCCTGGATTGCCTGAGACCCTGTTCCTGTAATTCTTAAATAAGTTGAAATCTTTAGAGATACTCCAGAACTAACTCTTAAATGTGTCCAGAAAAGGAACCAGAATAATAGACGTAAAATTCTATAAATGTTTTAATTTTTATTCACCTAGAATGAGGGAACCAGTAGTGAATAGGTTGGGAAGAACACACACACATTCAAAGGAAACAGTATTTTCATCAGGTATTTAAAGGACTCATATATGAAAAAGTAGCCATATTTGAGTTTTGGTAATCTTCTAGGGAAGAATTGGAACCTTTGAATAGAAATGAAGGGGATTCATTTTTAGCTTCATCCATGGCAATATCTCTAACAACTAGATGCCCAATACTGGAGTAAGCTGCCTTTTCAGATAGTGAGTTCTTGTGGGAATATCAAACAGAGGCTGAATGGGCAGCAAGCAAGGATGCAGCTAAGACTGGTATCAGCCATTAAAGGTCAAAGTGAAAGTAATTCAGAAGTTGTCTCCCATACCACATTTGCAAAATGCCGTTGAAATTGTTGGCGAGGAAACCCAGCAGAATTATACTAATGTGTATGTCAACTGCCTAGAAACTTTTCTGGATGAGTTATAGTTTGGTTATTCATTATATCTGTGGTTGTTTTCAGGTATTATTTTCCAACCTATGAAAACGATACTCTTCTATGTACACTGTCTGACAGTGAAAGTGATCTGACAGCTCAGGAACAAAATGGAAATATTACCATCATCAGTGAAGATATATCTAAACTGCATGCTTTGAAACAAAGCAGTATTTTGAATCAGTTGCTACTACATGAGAGCTTGAAAAACTAGAAGAAAATGCCACAGAAAAACTAGAAGAAAATGCAACGTCTCATGTTTTTTCTCTTATGAGACAAACTCAGAAGAATAGTTTAAATTTGAACATCAGCAAAGGATTACTTCTTGGTGAAATAAAATTTTAAAAAGTACTTTCCAAAAAATAAAATGAGGACTTTTTGTATTTTGGGCTGTAAAGTTTTACTATGTAATCATTATAAATGATCTCATTTCATTAGACTCAATTATTTATAATAAGGAAGACATTTGGGGCACCTGGCTGGCTCAGCTGATGGAGCATGTGACTCTTGATCTCGGGGGTCATGAGTTTGAGCCCCACATTAGGTGAAAAGATGGCTTTAAAATTTTTTTTTCTTTTTTAAATAAAGAGGACACGTAAATCACAAAAAAATGAAATGTTCAAATTATTTATAAAGTTAGTTTCAGCCAGTAATTTCAATTTCCTCCGCCACAGGCTTTCTTCTTCCAACAAGTCACAGAATTTGACTACACTGGGGAAGATTTATAGTGACCAAAAAGAGGAGCCAGTAAAAGAAAGGAAAAATGGTCAAAGACCTGGAGAATGCACAAATTGGAAGCAATTTCAGAAAAGTATAAATCTGACTATAGTATCATTATTGCTTTCTGCATAGAGTAACCAAACTCCCTAGAAATGGGCATCAAGCCTCATCTTCTACAATGTATCTATCATTAGCAGATCAGTACCATTTTTTAAAAACATAAACACAATACCATTATGACATCTAACAAAATTAACTTATTAATATCCTATGTTTTCAATTTTCCCTAGCTTTCTCAAGATGTCCTTTTAGGGGCGCCTGGGTGGCTCAGTGGGTTAAGCCACTGCCTTCGGCTCAGGTCATGATCTCAGAGTCCTGGGATCAAGCCCCGCATCGGGCTCTCTGCTCAGCAGGGAGCCTGCTTCCTCCTCTCTCTCTGCCTGCCTCTCTGCCTGCTTGTGGTCTCTCTCTGTCAAATAAATAAATAAAATCTTTAAAAAAAAAAAAAAGATGTCCTTTTACAGTATTATCAGTTACAGGACAGATACTGTATACTTTCTAATTAGATGCACTGAGGAAGACAAGACATGTTTGAGGATTCCTTCCAAAAATGCATTAACACGAATATAACAAAGAAACATTAATCAAACCCAAGTTGAGGGACAGTCAACCAAATAATTGGCCTTTATTCTTCAAAAGTCAAGGTCATGAAAAACAAAGACCGAAATACTTACTCTTTTAGATTAAAGGAAACTAAAGAGATAATACTACATGCGATCCTGGATTAGATTCTGGGCCAAAAAAAAAATTTTCTTTTGCCGTAAAAGATCTAGTGGGACAAATAGTACACTTTTAATAAGGTCGGTAGCTATTGTTAATTGGTGTTAATTTCCAGATCTTGACGATTGTACTGTGGTTATGTATGAGAATGTCCATGTCTTTAGATAATACACAGTTAAACTTACAGGTAAAAGAGCATTTTGGTTGCAACTTACTCTCAGAAAACAAATGTGAATATATAGAGAGAGGATGCTAAAGTGAATGTGGTGAGTTGTTAACATTTGGGTAATCTAAAACTCCTTAACAGTTGGGTTGTTTAAATCAGGTCCCATGGAGCACCTGGCCACCCAGGTGGCTGCCTTCGCAAAGCTCAGGTCATGATGTCGGGATCTTGAAATCAAGCCCTGAATCAGGTTTCCTGCTCAGTGAGGAGTCTGCTGCTCCTTATCCCTCTGCCCCTCCCCCATCTCATGCTCATACTCTCTCAAATCAATAAAATCTTCTTAAAAAATTGGGTCCCAGGTGAGATTCATATATTGCATTTGGTTGGTATGGTTCTTAAGGGTCTTATAATCTATACAGTTTGTGCTCCCTTCCTCTTAAAATGTCACTTTTTTGTTAAAGAAACTGAGCCCATTATCTCACTTTCTGGATTTGGATGATCATATGCTCTTTGTGTCATTTAACATGTTCTTCTATCACCCATTTTTCCTGCTGACTGGTGGACTTAAGTTCCAGTAAATTTGTGTTCAAAAACTTATTTGCACAAATAATTTATAAGAAATACTGTTGCTGTTGCATCACGTCAGGCACATAATATCCCTAGTACCAGTTTTTAGAGATTTTAGAGCTGATAGTCCGCTCAGGTGTTTTCGGTCAGTGCATCATTATAAAGTTCCCCATCAATCCTTTATCTAACTCACTCAGTATTCATTGGTAATTGTTACCTATTATTTTTTCTAGTGACTGCAAAATGATGATTTTCTAATGCTGTCACTTCTTATACAGTACATTCTTTACATAGCATGTGTGCTATAGAGTACTGGAGTTTGAAGTTGTAGTTTTCAACAGTTAATACCAGCCTCTGTAGGCAGTGCCCAAAGACTAATCTTGAAGTCATGTGGCCTGTCATGAGTCTCAGGAGTCATCCCCCAGGGGCACCTGGGCGGCTCGGTCATTAAACGTCTGCCTTCGGCTCAGGTCATGATTCCAGGGTCCTGGTATGGAGCCCCGCATGGGCTCCCTGCTGAGTGGGAAGCCTGCTTCTCCCTTTCCCACTCCCCCTGCTTGTGTTCTCTCTCTCTCTCTCTCTCTCTCTCTCTCTCTCTCTGTATCTTTGTCAAGTAAATAAATAAAATCTTAAAAAAAAAAAGTCATCCCCTGCCATGTGATCCAAAAGTGACTGGATTTGTAAATTTTAGAGGCTCTGACCATGGCTTTAGTTTTCCAAGCCTCCAACTTTGCGGACATCTGCACAGATCTCTTATGAAACACCAAGCAGAGGGACTCCTAGACGGCTAAGCGTCTGCTTTGGCACAGGTCATGAACTCAGGGTCCTGACATTGAGCCCTCTGCCCAGTGGGGAGTCTGCTGCTCCCTCTCACCCTCCCTCTGCTGTCTCTCTCCATCTCGAATAAATAAATAAAATCCTTTAAAACAAAACAAAACAAAAAACAAACAAACAAAAACAGAGAAAAGGGGTACCTGTGTGTTTTTGGCTCAGGTCATGATCTTGGGGTCATGAGAGCCCCACTTCCAGCTCTGCCCTCAGTGGGGAGTCTGCCTGGGAGTGACTCTCCCTCTGCCCCCTCCCGCTCCAAAATAAATAAATCTTTTTTTTTTTTTTAAAGGCAAAAAAATAAAAGCCATTATAATGGAAAATGCCTAAGTTAAAGACACGATTGAGTTAAATTGTTTTAAAACCAAAGATAAGAAGGTAGTCCTATGCCTAGAACCTTGTGTGTCTAGGAATCAGATTTGTTCAGGAAGTGTGTAGAGTGTTTCTAGAATATGCTTCAGTTTTAGAACAGGAGCAATGAAAAAATGAGAACAAAATTAAGAATAATTAAGCTTGTGAAGGAGAAAGGTTTTTTGGAGATAAAGTTGAGATCTTAGATTAGATGGACATAAAAGGAAAAGTGAAACTGAAGGACAGATAAAAGGGAAAAGATATAAGAGGTTATTTTTAAAATGTGTAGATGTTTTGGAGGTTTTGGGTTTGTTTTTTTTTTTTTTTAGCTCAGAAATAATAACTTGGTCCCAAAAAAATCAAACAAGAATAGAAGCAAAATCTCAGCCAGCTGTGCTGACTCTCAGAGGGAGCAAGAATATAGACCACTACTGGCAAAGGACTCTCTTAGAGCTACACAGAAAATAGAGACTACTTGTCAAGAACTATTGGGAACTCCTCCTTAAAAACTGGGACACTGAGGGGGTGCCTGGGTGGCTCAATGGGTTAAAGCCTCTGCCTTCGGCTCAGGTCATGATCTCAGGGTCCTTGGATCGAGCCCCACATCGGGCTCTCTGCTCCAAGGGGAGCCTGCTTTCTCCTCTCTCTCTCTCTCTGCCTGCCTCTCTGCCTACTTGTGGTCTCTGTCTGTCAAATAAATAAATAAATAAAACAAAATCTTTAAAAAAAAAAAAATTGGAACACTGATGCAAAGTGTACCCTGCAAGGTTGGACAATTCAAAAGGGGAGGATCAATCCGATGAAAGTACACATTCAAGGGATTATTGAACGGGTTTCCAGATGTCACTAAAATTGTAAATAGAGATACAAGTGCTATCTATGCCCAGAGGGAGCAGGCTTGAGAAATTCTGAAAATTAACACTAAATGAAGGTAACCAGAATACAGGAAACATAACAGAGCCAATAAGGACCGTGATAAACGGAATCCAAGCCCAAATTGGCTGTTAGCCTAATCAGAAAATGCATGCTAGTTATCTAACTCAGAAAGGGGAGAGTGGCCAAGGTTTTGTTGTTGTTGTTTTTCTTATTGTTTTAAGATTTTATTTATTTACTTTCATAGGGAGAGAGCCCAAGTAGGCAGAGTGGCAGGCAGAGGGAGAGGGAGAAGCAGGCTTCCCACTGAGCAGGGAGCCTGATGCTGGGCTCCGTCCGGAGCCAAAGGCAGAATCTCAACTGACTGAGCCACCCAGGCGCCCCTGGCCAAGGTTTTTGTTTGTTTGTTTTGGTTTTGGTTTTTTGTTTGTTTGTTTGTTTGTTTGTTTTTGAACAATGGTTGCTTTTGGCCAAGCAGACCTAGTGTTTTATCTCTCAAAACAGAAGACCCCATTAGACGAAATCTAGAACAGAATGTCAGGTAAGTACATGTCTAGGCCAGAAAGAAGAGAAAGATTTAAAAGGGGGAAAAAAGGCATCAGACTCTAGAAATACTAGGCCTTTATTGGGGAATTTTAACTTACGAGGAGGTAAGTTAAACTGTGACAAATCCAGCTGTTCTACCTTGAAAGGCATAGAGGGGAAGTCAAGCCCCAGAACATATCCACTATTGCTGACAAAGGCAGAATGGAGGGAAATACTGCTGGAGGCCTGGACCAATCAAAAGCAAGGGAAGGTGGAGTGCTGAGGAGGGCTCCACAGAGGTATCTGTCCTCACCGGTACAATTAATCTGGTAGTCCAGTTGCCCCCGTATTCATTCTCCATTTCTTGAATAATAAGTTTAGTTGGGTATATGGCAGCTAGAATGAAGACTACATTTCCCAGGTTTTCCAGCAGCTCAGGACACCTCCTCGTCTACATTATGGTAAATGAGATGTAAGCAGAAGAGTCAAGTGTGACAGCTTCTAAGAGTCTTCCTTAAGATACTAGACAAAGCGCTCTCTGTTTTCCTTTCATCCCTTCCTGCTCTGTTGCCAAAGATGTCTGCATATGGGACAGGGAGGTCAAACCAAGCATGATGGGGCAAGAGTGTCAAAGGAACCTGGATCCCTATCTTGAGGCTGCACCAGCCCTTGAACAATGACCTA